TGCTACATTTCAAAGGGAAATCGATAGAAATACTGCTCGAGTTCTTGATATTATTGTAAGTGGAAAGGAAATTCTTGACCCCTTTTAATCATCGATGTTTTTTACTTTTTCCAGTAACTAGTGGCATTTTCTTAATTCTTGCATCCATACTGTATATTAATAATGCAGTAACTCATTCTTTTATTTTCTTAAAACCAGCTGCTGTTAATGTGTGCTTCGTAAAACAGGCTATTGTCATGTTTTTCATAAATTTTGTTAGTCTTATTCTTTTAGAAGCCCGAGTAAAACATCCTTTATCCAGTTCTCAGCTAAATGATTATCTTCCCCATGTTGCTGACTGTGTGGCTTTGGTCAACAATGTTATTTCTCTCTTTCATCTGCAAGCTATCCATTACTGCTTAGTCATTTTAGAGTTTTTGCAGTCAAAAAGCTCTAGGAATTGGAAAATTGTTTTAGTCTCGTTGCAGTGTTATAAGATTGGTTTTCAACGTCTCTCAATTTACCACCCCTTTTGCACTTCTTTGAGACATTTCTATTTTTTACTAGTTCTTTATCATTTTATTTCTTTGTTAAAGTAACTTATTGTTAAAGTAACATCCTCATTTTAAAAACTACTTCTTTTTGGCTGCATTTACAAAACATCGTAATCTTTCAGAAATTTATTCTTTTCTTTCAGGCTTAAATTATTTTGTTTCAGCATTTTTGACATATTATAAGTCGCAACACAGCAAATAAAAAAAGAATATTTCTATCTTCAAATACAAAATGCCTGTGCCAGAAGAATGATTGCACTATATCAAATTGACCTGTCACTTCATGGTTTTTATCGATGTAATCATTGCTTACATTTCTTTTTTCTTCAGCCTACAACGACTCCTTTTTTTTAAATCAAAAATTGATCATGTACTATAATGCAAGGAAGCATTTCATGATGTTTTTTCAGAACACTCTGCAAACTTAATGTGTGTATATACTTTAAAAAACGCCTATCAAGTGGTATTTGAGAAAGGGAACTTGTGCTTACTTAACCATCACCTTTTCGGCTAATTTTTGGAATATGGTAACAGGTAGTTTGGCGACATTTTGGTAAGGCAATAAAGGTTACTAGTTAGGACTTTAGCAGTGTACATGGATAAAGTCAAGAGTGTGCGCAATGTCATTTTTGTGCAATTCTGGGATTTTTTTTTAAGTGAAAATAGGTTGACGTGTACATGGATACCGTGTATGTGCAATTCTTAAAAACGCGGCAAGCAGTGGGCGATTCTGCACTTTCTCCCAATTTCGCACCTAATCTTCGTCATGATTAAGCACTTTTGTTCCGTAAAAGTTCTAGAATAAGCGTAATTCGGCTAGCAGATTGTTGAAAAAAAAAAAAAAAAAAAAAAAAGCCTTTACTTCGTGAAAACAAAATGGAAAAAAAAAAAAAAAAAAAAAAAAAAAAAAATAGCAGGGTTGGTCGCTAAATTTTCGCCAAAAAATCGCCAAGTTACCATAATCTAAAGATTAACCACCTTTTCTTGTATCCTGTGTGTTCAGTTGTTTACAATCAAAGAACTCATTTCCAGTGCCTCTAGAGACTATTTTAGTTAATCTTAAGATAAAAGAAATCTTTCTCATCATCTAGCCTGGAGAAAGAGATTCATAGTATCTGACAGGAACTAGGAAAGGATATTCGTTACCTTCAGGAGTTCTTGATTCTAACTACACTGGCCGAAATTTCTGCTAAACCACTACATAACTGAAAGATGAATGAACTATAAACACCTTTTTTTTTTCAGCCACAAACTGCTTGTTTTGGATCTGAATAATCAGTCTTTTGCCAGTTTAAGCAGCAGAGATGAGTTTAATAAATGACAATTTTTTTGTTGATTAGTATATATTTGTTCTAATAGTATATATTTATATTAATTTGTACTCATGAAAATGATAAATAAATAATAGTAATAAATGGCTAGTATGTTTAATTAGCAGTGACTACTGTATATTATTCATCTAATGTTTTATCATGTATTGGAAGTGGAAACTGTAATTCCATGGTGAAAAATATTAGCAACTGAAATATGAAAAAAGAGTGTTTTAAGAAAAAATATGTAAAATGCTAACTTTTTTAGTAGCCTTAACTTATCTTTATGAATTATTAAGACTGCCAATGGTACCAATGAGAACTAATATTAGAGATATGTAAATCAGACTATTATATTTATGTAACTTCAATTAATTAATTTTTTTTTTTTTTTACATTTCTGAAATATTACCGTTTTTTGAATTAATATTTTAATTATATCTGCTAGTTTGAAAAGAAATATTCTTTGATATATCCTGATTTTTTTTTTTAGAATTGAGTATTCTGAAGTGATATCATCATGAAAGTATTGTGTTCTTTTAAAAAAACTTAGCCCAATTTGATTAGGTTTTATTTATTGATTTTTATATTTGAAAATTTTATTTGTATTTTAAATGTAGTAGAACCTTTATTAATTGAATCTGTATCTAACCAAAGTCTCTGTTAACCATAATTGTAAAGAAATAATTGGGAAAACATAATAACATTAAACAGAATACTGTGAAAAATCAGTCGCTAATTTTACCAGTTATTGATATTTTGGCCTTTCTCATAGGTGATAGGTCATTCAATAGCTTTTCTGTTGTGCATTATGGTAAAAATATGTTATTATAAAACATGTATTAATGGTACTTATGTATTATCTCGACCACCTTACTTAGAAGTCGTCAAATTTTTATAATGTACTGGACTTGGGAACCATGTTATAGCTATTTTTCAGGCAACCATGCTCATAGCAGTTTTTTTAATTAAATCACCTTGCTATTTTTGTATGCATTCTTTTTGTTGTATTTCAAGTTTCAACAGACCAATCATGATATTGTTTGCTTTAAAGTTAATTTTAAAATATCCACTTATGGAATTTGCCAACAAAGGAAGAAAGTGTAGCAAAATTTCTGCAAGAGGGTAATAAAATTGGTAGAGAACAATAATGAAATGCATTGGTACATAACCAATGCACAATGTCAAAATTTGTGCAATTTTAAAATAATTTTTTTAGGCAAAAACATATCATTGTGTATACAGACAGAAGAATTGTAATAAAAAAATTACAAAAAGAATTTTGTGACAAAATTTAAGCACTTTATTTTTTAATGTATCATATAATTCTTATTTAATAATTAAAATTTGTATTTTAAAGTGCTGAAGTGTGTACTTTTTTGATTAATAATGTTGCGAAAATTGCCATCTTGTGCCTAGTAAGTAATTTTTGTCTTTTGATTAAGTCAAAATTGCCAAATTGTGCCAAGGTGCCATTAATGCATTACACTTTGTTACCATTATGAGTTTTCATATGTTAAAGATAATGCAACACTAACTGACAAATCAATCGCATATTTCAAAGCATAAAAGGATGATATTTGTAGGTGGTTAAATGTAGAAAACGAAGAACCAAATTTTTTTAACTGAAGAAGAAACCATTCATGGTGTAGATCTGGTAAACAATAAATATTGCAATGATGCTAATGGAAAATACGAAAATTAGCTGTGCTATGGTCTCTGAGCACAGCTAATTTTCGTATTTTCCATTAATTGGAATACGATTAGTCTTGGATTTGATTTTGATTATGCAAACACATGGGGCTGTATTAGATGCCTAAAAAAAGCTTGATTCCCGTGGTGGAGGACTTTTTAAGAGAAATTTGTTTGCATTCATATTACATTTGAAGAATGTTATGAAAACTTTTATGCAACCAGATTGTTTGCTGAAGTAATCACTGAAGTCTCAAGCAAAACTCAAATATTTAAAGCAATGTCTTAATGCTTCTCCTAAGGATCGTCAGTTGATCAAAAATTGGATTGATTGTGTGTTAGCTGCTAAAGTTATGGGGTCTGTCACGAAAAAGGTTACCAACCTGTATTAAAAAATTTAATGCCTCATAAAAATGCATGTAAGAAATCTTATAAAACTTCACAGTTTGCATAAATTTTAATGGAATTTGTTTTTGTAATTAGTTTTTAAACTTTTTATAAGATATTATAAAATTAACATTTTACAATAAAAAAGCGTAATCATAGAATGTTAATTGGAGTACTAGAGCACTTATTTTTATAATTTCAAATGAACAATTTCATAAAATCTTTTCAAAAGAAAAATTTGCATGCTTTAAAAATTAATCTTTGTTAATCAAGCTTTTGATTATCTGAGGTGAATATGTTGCCCAATACATTGATAATAAGATTTTTCTGCATTTTATGGCTATTGTGGATTACCAATTTGTTTAGGAGGAGGGCAGTGTAACATCTGGGAGAGATTGTTCAGTTGTAGCTATTCTTTAAAATTTGTAGAATGTTTAAACAATTTATGGGTTACAATAATCTTTACTTTGGGCATAATGAATTTATCATGTGAAGGCATCTCTACCTTTAGGCAGGTAGCCCCTTTTTTCATAATCAAAGTAACTGAACCAAACTATCCATGGAAAGTATCTGTATCAAATGCTTTCTGATAAATAGAATTTACTTGTAGTGCATTTTTTTATTTGGATTTTATGTACTGATAAATTTTGCTCTATGTGTAAACTCATAAATGAATAAATTTTTTGTATGAAATCTCTTCAAATATATAGAATGTATAATTTGTAAAATAAAAATTAGAACATGGAAAGTGAATACTAAACTAATATATCTGAATTCTATAAAGTTATCAATAAACATTTTTTAAATAGCTGAGTGTAATTTTATTTTGAGTGTTGGGGGAAAAAGTGTTATGTGAGAAATGTTTCATTCAGAATATAATTAATATTGAAAATGTAAAACTAAAATAATTTTATATGAAGTGCAAATATTTTGATATCCATATTTTTTAAAATGTTGAAGTTAAAAAAATTTGTAATTTGCCAAAAAGGGGGAAAAAGGGCCAGGTAATAAATAATAAATTCATTTTTTTTGTACTTGCTAATATTTGTAGCATTATTTCCTGTTGTGTTCATTTCAGAGTTTTGCTGTGGTTGCCATGGCGACCCAGAGTTTCATGCCAGACATGCAGGCTCTGAGTGCAGTGCAGCAAAATTCTCCTGTCCCATCACAACAACAATCCCCACAGACAAGTATCAGTCAATCTAATCAGACCCAGTCTAATCAGGTCATTACTTTTTTAAACATATATAATATTTTTTAAGTTACTGTATGTTAATTGTAATTTTTTGGCATAGCAATTTTACTAAGGTTATGCTGAGAAAAGTACTAAGCAAGTTCACTTTGTTGTTTTAGAATAACTGTATGAGTATTTATTTTAAATTATTTGTTTAAATTCTCCAAAAGTGTCAATATTTTCTTTTAAGTGTATATACTAAATACCAGTTATTTTATACTTTTGAAAAATGGTAGTCTGTTAAAATATTTGCTAGAAGTAATCTACAATGCTTTAATATATATATAAAGAGAAATATTTACATGATCAGTTATCCAAAAATGCAGGTCTGATTATCTAGTAAAATTTTTATACTGTTTTAGTTAGATAAGTATACAAATATTGATATGATCGGTTACATGAAAATGGATGTTTAAGAAATTACTAACTATTTTTATTGGAGATACTTATATCTGAATGTAAAAAAAAGTCTTAAGTGTATGTATTTTGCATTGGACTTCATTTACTTTATTATCTGTTTACAATTGGATTATTTTTAGGCTACCCACAGTCAAACTCAAACATTAGATGTTAGAACCCAGACTGCTAGTTCATCTCTTGCAGGATCTGTTACACAAGGTAGTCAAACTCCTCAAAAGTCACAACAAACCATCCAAGGTGTTTCTGTATCCTCTGCTATTGCAGCAGCACAAGTTGTTGTTGCAACTCATTCTCCACCTATTTCTCAAACACAACAACAGACAGCTGAGACTGTCGTTCAACCTTCTCAACCCACTGGACCTTCACAATTTATAGCTGTAGCAGGTAAGAGTGTCAGTAGAATAGTGCAATCTGCAGAAGATTTCTTTGTTCCTTTTGTAACAAAGTTTTTTTTTCTTTCCTTCTTCCTCCCCCCCCTTTTTTTTGCAAGAAACTTAAATATTACCCTTTAAGTGCAGTTGCTATCTTCTATGTTACTAAAATAATGCAAAAATTATTTTTATTTTGTATTGTTAAAAGCTGAAAATTTATGCATTTATTTTGAGATAATTTAAATTTTTTTTAGTTCTGTAATTTGTTAGTATTTGAAGCATGTTTGCAGATGTTTTTTCCCAGTATGATAATGTTTTATTACTATAATATGAAAGCTTAATGACGATTATATTTTATTCAATATTTGCTTTGGAAAATTTTGAATTTATTGCAGTTGGTTGTAATAAAAAATATTTGTCTTGTATGCCTTTTTTCTATCAAATGTGTAATGGAGCTTGCTAGTATGCTTAATAAATTTTATAGGAAATGCTTATTATTTAGATATATCTTGTAAACAGAGTTTTAATCCTAGCATTATGTCGTTTTCCATGTACCTACAATCAACAGTCATTTTGACCGCTTGTTCTGAATAGAAGAAAAGACTTGCTTTTTACTTTTTATATAAAGTTAATGCTTATAACAATACATTTTGCTTGTTTAATAAGTAAATAAAGTAAGTTGAGAAAATACATGCAACCAAAAGCTAATTTAGTGTAACAAAGAGCAAAATAAAGCAAAGTGAGTAAATATATTAATCAAAGGATAATTTAATATAACAGAGCCAAAAGAGGAAAAAAAAATCACCAGAGATATTTTTAAACTTCTTATCATTTAATAAATTGGCTCATAAAAATTTTCAGTATGAAATAAATGTATTTAAAATTACACGTATTAGTACTTGCATTACTTGGTTTTGCAGTGCATACAGATTACTAATTTTTTAATTTTACCTGTGCAGGTTTCACAAACATATTTTTTACAGTATTCACATGTATTTAAAATTGTGTTGCCTTTGCATACATTTATTTGGCATTATTTACGCTTACGGGAAGGGTTGATGCAAGTTCCAATTTTCTTTTCGTTTAGATACAGAAAGTTTGTGAAGCTCTTCAGCCATATTAAAATGAAATGACAGCTGATATTTTTATATTCAGTTGTTTCCTTGTAAATTATCCATGCATTTATCTCGGCCAAATCAAGAATATTAAAAAAACCTTGAACTGACCAACAACTGGATTAGGACTTCACTGAGTATTTTCTGGCCATGAGGTCCAAAACATCAACTCCATATTTGGTCGAATTGTAAAAATTCATGACTTCTGGTGTATTTTTTCATCAGATGCGATTTCCAATGTTGGGCGCTTGGTACTCAAGAACCAGCACATTTTCCCACCCCCCCATCCTTGACAAAAAGTAAGCATTATATTGTCATGCCTAGCAATCTTACTAGAACAGAGCTCATCCCTCATATTTTTGAAAGAATATGGTACTTCTCTTTTTGAACGATTAATTGTGCCAATGCAGCTTTATCCCTGAATTCTCTTGTTTCATCTTTTACCAAATAGGGAAATCCATTCAGTAAATATTTTGACTGCATATCAGTAGCAAGCCAAAATTTAATGCCAAATTTATCCAGCTTTTTAGGCATATACTGAATAAATTGGCATTGTGCCTTCATGGGAAATAATCATTCATCCACTGTTATATTTTTGCCTAGTTGATAACATTTCAAGCAGTTTTGTATAAAAGCATTTCAAATATCCGAAACAAGAGCAAATGGATCAATTTACAGTCCTTTAGATCTTAACCAAAATTTTTATTTTCTTTTTCTGTTTCGTGAATAGAATTTTTTCTCCAGATGACTTGGATTCACTTGTTTCAGTAGGAACAATCCAGTCCTCGTCGGATAAACTGGATGTAGTTTCGGAATGAAATTCTTCATCAGGTTCAGTTTTTGAAGCAGAATTATCATCAGAAAGACTTTCAAAAACTTTCAGCATCCATTCCTTCGGAACAACAAATCTAAGTACATTTGTGTATACTGAAAAATAGACTTTCTAACACAAGCGAAATGCGCGGACGCAAGGAGCAGAAAAATTCTAAACAGGTGTTTTTATTTCCTGTCCTCCCCTCCCCACTCACGTCTGTAAAATATGCAACCTTCCTTACCAAAAATATATTTGTTTATCTATCAGCAAACCAGATTTAGCTAAAAAAGTCATAGAAATATTGAGAAATCTATAATATTTCTGGATACGGTTAAAATGACTGATAGCCATAATTCTAGGTCTAAGCAATAATATTGTCGAAAATAATTACTTAAAATGAACAAAATATCATGTAATATCTGTAAGGTTTTAGAAAAAGTAAAAAAAATATCAAAGTTACAAATAAAGAATTAAAAAAGTTATGTCCAATTAAAACGGAGATTTGGTTATAATGACCGTTTCCGTAATTCTAGCATTAAAGCATGTGGATTTATTTCAGATAGGTGACTGAAAACATATCTATGAAGTTATTTGGTACTTTTCTGTTATTGGGACTGGATTCAGAAATGTATTGTATGCATGTATTATATGTGCATACATATTGTATGTGTGTATTTACACATATACATACATACATTTCTGAATATACACACTGATCTGAATCTAATATATACACACCAATTTGATAATTTATGAATCTGTTCTTGATAACAGAAAAGTAGCAATTATTTTTTTTAATGCTGTAATGCTATGTATATGAACAACAAATTTTTTTAATGTGCAGATATGATAGGCATTAAGTTTAATTAAAATGATTGAAATTGAATAATTTTCTGAAAGTTGTCATAAAATGACTAAAGAATGATCTAAATATGCCTTGGCTATAAACTATGTGATACATGGATATTTTTCTTGTAAAAAAAAGGAGGGGGGGGTAAAGTATTTTGGCCACAAGAAAACCATTATAGCCTGTTATTAAGAATTTATTTAATTATTATTTTATTATCTAATTGTCAAAACTTTTCTGCGCTGTAAAATCAAAAGAAAATCAGTTTTTTAATTTATTTCTTAAAGAAGTCAGGATTACATTTAAAGAATTTTCTTAATGGGCATGAAGGGATTTCTAGAAAGAATGCAGCTTTTTAATCAGTATTTTTGTATGTTCAGAAAAAATATTCTAAGTTGTCAGTGATGTTTGTAAAAACCTATATAGAAATTTAATTACAAAGGTAATTAATTCAGCCATGAAAAAGTCATCATTTGGAGTTCTAAAATGTGTGAAAATGGAGATTTTACTTTAGAATGCTGTTAAAGGTACTAATAAGCAGCAGACAGAGTTAAAATGTTAATTCTGCATTGCCAAATGTGAATATATATGTCAGTCTTCCATAAGTTTTAAAAAATGACTCCTTGTATAAAATCCCATGAATCCTTTAAAAATTACATGAATATTTCCAGTCCTTTATTTTTGCATTAATTTTTTTAAAAAAATTTTTACAGGATGTGTAATTTATGTTAAACAGGGTATTCAGGACATAATTTAACTTTTCCTTTTCTTTACACGATTAAAGGAAGTTATTTTTGTTATGTACTGAAAGGTTTTTTTTTTTTTTTTTTTTGTAGCAGTATGTTAGAAGGTGATAGAATTGTGTGAAAAGTACTAGTCCTACTTCCTTTTGTCTAAAAATGCATAAGTGTCACTCCCTTATCATATACAGATTATACAATTATATTTTTTCCCAGGTTAGCAGATGTAATGTACTAATCATCATCTGTCCATATTACAAATATCGATATTTTTAAATCTTTTTTTATCATAAATATTAAAATTAATTCTAATTAGTTTCAGAACATGAGAATCAAGCAGAGGGAAATGTCACTTTACAAGCTAATCAAACCGTGCATCCTACTTATGTTCAGTATGTTGACAGTGCAGGAGAACCTAATATTTATGGTGCAAACAATGGGCAAATGTAAGTCTTGGAATATTCTTAGAACTGTTTTGCTGATCATGCGCAGAATGTTTTTAAGGGTATTATAGTTTAGAGATAGGTAGAGGTGCATTTTATTATTTTTTAGGGCTAGTAGATATTATATTAAAATTTGTAAGTATTTGAGATCAGAAGCAGAAATCCCAATCTTTTATTAATGGATCTGAATATGGCAATGTATCCAAAATTATGAAAAATCAAGTCATATTTTCAGACTTGTGCAGATGAAATTTAAAGACTAATTTTCAAAAGGAATATACTTAGTAATTTAACTCCAATAAAAGATGGTTTATAATATGCTGGTTTTTCCTTTTTACTGTAATGTACATTTGTTTATATTAAAATTTAGTTTTTTAAATATAGGCAAAAATCACACACACATATATATATATTTTATTATTTATTTAGATATTTGTAGAGGAGTTTATGAATTCATCTGAGAATCGTTAAATTTAAGTGAAAAAAAGATTTAAAATTTTTTGAAAATAAAAGTGACAAGATTATTCGAGGTGTTTCTAAAAGGAGCAAGCTTTTATATTATTTGTATTTTTTAATATTTGTTATTAATTTTTTTATTCTTTACAGTTACAAAGTCTTTAATTCGGATCATCGAGGACTTCGGCGATTCGGATAGGGTTTTTTTCCGGATTATAGATCATCAATTTAAATCTGAAAATGCATGCAGAATTATAAAACTAAAAATATGAAACCGTAATTATGAAAAAGAGCAATTATGATTAAGGGTATCAAAATTTCCAAAAAAAGTTTAATGTTTATTTGTTTACTTTATTAAACATTTCTTTCAATGTATGTTTAAGTTCTCGTTTTATGTGTTAATAATTTCTCTCTAATTCTATAAACCATCATAAATTTCTTGTTCGTTAAAAGTCTGCTGTTCAAGTCTTGTAATTGCTGTGCCGAGATACAACAAACTTTCTCAAAACTTTTTTCGTTGTCACTAACCTCTCGTAACTTTTCATGCCTTATCATTTTTTGCAGTAATTCCACTTTTTGTTTGATAAAAAAACGTTTTTTCGCTTTGATCCTTGGCCTCCAGAATCCCCTCTCTTTTGACATATTGAAAGTTCAAGCTTACTTTTTATAAAATTGCTCTGACAGTCTGCAAAAAATAATAAGCCGGATCCAATTAGAAGATTAAGGAACTACACAATGTGCAACGTTAACTGAAATAGATAATTAGATAATTTTAGCCTAGCTCATACCGTCCATTATACATTAAACACGTATGCGTAAACGTATTATGCGCATGCATAAATGCTATGCATGCGCGGAAAGTTTGTAGCCTTGAGGATTATGGATGTCTGGACTTTGTACTGTATGTACTTTTGAAAGTTAATTAAATAATAAAATTATTTTGCAATTCAAAACCAAATTTTGAATTAAAATGTAGACTAGTATTTTAATCTAATTTTAATATGAAATTAGCTGTTTATCTAAATTTTATATGAACTTTAATGTTCCAATAAAAGGTTAATGACAGATGTTGGAATTACTTCAATATTTATGAAAAGTTGCCATTTGTAGGTGATTGATTTGTAGTGATTGTGCTAGATTACCGTAATAAAAGAAAAGTTTTCAAATTAGCTTCAGAAAATTGTTTTGAGATGCAGTCTTCTACTGTACAGAAGAAGGGCTGTGAATTTTTTAATATTCTTTATATATTTGTTGCATATGAATGTAGATATAATTAATGTATTGAGTTTTAAATTAATATACAAAGAACTTTACAAATTACATAACATAATAATTTCACTATTTAATTATGTAAATGCACGAAATTAAGAAAAAATGTGAAAATCATGAATCTAAAAGAAATTAATCTTTCTATCCAAAAAAATTGTAGTACATTGCAAAATTTTCTAAAATGCTTTTCTCTTCATTTACTCTCATACGTGAAAGGAAGTAATATAAATTGTTATGTATGTAATAATAGGAAGTAATATAAATTGTTATGTATGTAACAGGAACTCTTTACAAGGTGTGCAATAAAATCTTAAACTGAAAGATTCACCTTCCTTTTTTATGTTACAAAAGTTTTCAATCACAGAATTCATCATTCATGTAGCCTGGCAAGTAATTCCATTTTGAGATGTTTTTAATACATCAACCACATCGCCTGAACAATTACCAGTTTTTAAAGATTGTCGGAATTCAACAAGACTTAAGATCTTAACAAATCTTTGAAATTAAAACTTTATTATTAAAATGAGGCTCTTTTAAACTGTCTGCATAATTCTTAATAATTGATGGCCCACCAGCGGCCGAGCGGTAAAGTCGCTGAACACTGGTAGTTCGGTCCGAGGTTCAAATCCCGCGAACGGGCTGGCTGCATGGGCGTTTTCGTGGTTTTCCCCATGTGTAACGTGTATACGAGCCAGTTTCTCTTAGAAAGTCCTCCACGAAGGCATCCCTCCACTTAGGCAGATAGCCCTCGAGGCTTTGCCATAATCACACACACACACACACACACATTTAATAATTGATGTCTTTTAATATTTGTAATTTATGTCTTAATATAGACACCCATGATATACATATTTGTGATTGTGTTGATAAATATATGTGTGATTATTCTAATTGGTAACATATTTATAATGCCATGTATTATTTTCTCATTATAGAATAATTATTTGCATGGCCACACAATGAATTTTTAACCTTATTTATTCTTTCTGCATAAAAATGTATAGTAACCATTTAGTACCATCACAAATTTATTAATATTCACATTAAACCATAATCACAAAATTTAAATAGTTGAATTTTATGTTTTATGTGTTAACATATGTGCCAGAACCTGGTATAATATAGAGTAAGTTGTTTTCTTTTCTTCATAACTTCTTATTTCTATTATTTGTAACAATATTTTACAGGGCAGGCTACTCGGTATACAGTGTGACAGATGCATCAGCAATGTATACTCCAGCAACTGCTGGTTATTATAGTGGGGGGAATGGCACACCTGTTACTTATTCTCAGGTATAATATTTTTTGATGTTCTATGAATTTTGTTAATCATAACATGAAATAAAATAGAGAATCTGGAGAATACACACTTTTCTTTCAGTTGATGGATGAAAGTAGTGGTTATAAAGTTCAAGGCCAAGTTATAGAAGCAGAGGCTCATCATAATTTAGCCCCTGTATCTGCTGCTGTTACTTTAACTAATAGAATATCTCCTGTTTCCGTAAGTAATTTTCTTTTTAAAATTTGAAATAATGTGAATAATTTTTAGTGAAATTTATTGCGATTTGAATGAATGTGATAGCTAAGGTCTTTAAAGAAGCAATTCTGTATCAAACAGTTTTAGTAAATATGATTTTAATGCTGTTTGTAGTATTTGCCTTTGACAGTGCGAAGTATAACAGGAAATAGTTAATCTTATATTCTATTTAAAGTGAAAAATATAAATGCTAACTTACAAATACTATATTACTGTAGGAAGATCCTCGGAAAGTGACTGAAATCATATCACCTTTCACCAGTGATCAGTGTGTCATTCAAACTTTACATAGTCCTCATGATACTTCACAACTTCAGTTAACCTCTCAACAGAATCAAACTCAGTCTCAGCCTACACATCATTCACAGCATCAAAATGTCCGCGACATGGATATTATACATGTAAGTTTTATTATTATTTCCTTTTCGTCACTTTATATCAACAATTTTGCTGGGTTAAGGATTGCTTAATTGTCATGATAACTGACATGTATTTTTATTGCAATATGTTATGAATGAAACATGTCAGTAAAGCCAATACAGGATAATGCTAGTACAGTCAAAAGTCGTTAATCCGGACTCGTAGGGACTTCGGCGATTCCGGATTATCGATTTTTCCGGATTATAGATCATCAGTTTAAATCTGGTAAAATGGCATGCAGAAATTATAAAAGTAAAAATATGAAACCGTAATTTACGAAATAAAGAATAATTATGATCTAAAGGGTATCAAAATTGACAAAAGAAACCTTAATATTTATTGGTTTACTTTATTAAACATTTCTTTCAATGTAAGTTGTTTCAGTTGCTTCGTTTCTTATGTTGATAATACATTCTCTTTAATTCTATAAACAGACATAATTTCTTGTTCAGTTGCAAAGTTCCGCTGTTCAAGTCCTATAATTGCTGTGTCGAGAATATCGACTAATTTGTTAATCGAAATTTTTTCGTTTTCAATAACCTCTGTCACTTTCTTCGCTATCGGAAGCGAATTATAATGACGAGGCATTTGATTTAAATCATATCAAAGACGGAGTACATTGAGATGAAATACTACATTGAGTAAGCAATTATAAGCCAAATAAAATAAAAACATCTGCCCTTAAGATAAGGATAGTGCTGATAAATCAACTTCCAATTCATTGCACGCCGCCGCAGCGTTAAAGATAAACAAAGTTTAGTTAAACAAAGAATATGCCTTTATCCATTTTTTGCAGCAATTCCATTTTTTGTTTAATGGACTCCGAAAGATACTTTCGCTTTGTATATCCTTTACATATTAGTAAATATATATTGGAAATTCTATTTGACATAATCGAAAGTTCAAGCTTACTTTTATAAAATTGGTCTAACAGTCTGCAAAAAATAATAGTCCGGATCCAATTCGAAGATTAAGGAACAATGCAATCTGCAACATTAACTGAAATAGATAATTTAGATAATTTTAGCTTAGCTTATCCCGTCCGTTATACATTAAACGCACATTCGTAAACGTATTTTGCGCACGCGCACAAGCAAATTCGCAGCGGTAAAGGTCTTACGCGCATGCGTCAACGCTACGCATGCGCAGAAAGTTTGTAGCTTTGAGGTCCCGGATTATAGATCATTCCGGATTATGGGTGTCCGAATTAACGACTTTTGACTGTATCTGGTTTTCATGGTGCTATTCAGTATGTGGCTTCTTGAGGTTTCAACATTGTAGTTAAGGAATAAGGATAATTTTTTAGATCTTCCATTAATAGTTTTTAAAATGTCTTTAACATTTTGCTTATTTTATAGAATTCGTATCATCAATATTTATTTCATTAGAAATTATTATGTGCCATTAATGTTGTGTATATTATTTGTTGTACAAAACACTGCGTGTCGTGTATCTTTTCCTTTTTCTCTAAATTATATAAAAATACCAGAAAAGTGATCATTTCAAGTGAAATAATAACCTTTACATTAGAATCTTATAATTAAATAACATTGTAGTGAAATGTGCTAGCAAAATAATTTATTAATATGTAATTACTAATAACACTGAGTTTTTGGCAAAATAATTTATTAATATGTAATTACTAATAACACTGAGTTTTAAAGGTATATGTTAATGTTCAGATGAGAAAGATAATACGTATACTTATATTTGGGAAAATTGCCATTCTAGGAAGGAATGATCAGAATAGAATTAAATGTATTGGAAAGCTGGGTGACATAAAAAATGCTTAGATATCCAGAATTAATGTGCAGGTCTGGACCGAGCAGAAGTTTTTTGAATAATTGTATTAGGCTATTGAGAAGTAGAAGGCTGTTGAGCTAGACTAGTAGTGTATTGTTGCAAGTGAGCTCAAAAGTATTTTGTAGGATTTACAATATTTCATTGACAAAAAATAATACCATAGGAATCAAATTTAAGTTTTCATACTGAAATGAATTATCTGCCTCAATGAAAGGATATTTTTTAGGAGCAGAAGATTAAAGGGAACCTGACAAATCTAAAATCTAGCTATGGATTTAGAAATGTAGTTACCACCATGTGATAGTGGACCTTGCTTACACATAACACTCACAAGACTTGAAATTCTTCTCAAGTGTTATCACAGCATTGAAGCACTGCTATTCTGCATTGTCTTGATTTGACTGTTTCTATCTCACAAAAACTGAGTAAAAGTATTGCTTTATTAAAATTCCTTTGATAGTGAAGCATTGATTCCTTGGTTTATAATAGATGCATGAGTTTTGTGAGTGGCTTGTGGGCTGGCATTGTTTTTTGATGAATCTCATTTTAATTTGGTTATATAACCTTTAGATGATACAATGGTAAGTGCTATCTTCCAATATGTATTTTAGAGCATCATGCGAGGAACAACAAGTATGACGATGGGAAGTGCTATTGGTTATCATAAATAGTTAGGAATGTAGGTTATATCACTCGCAAAACGCTTCCTGCCAGACATCTTTGAGCTTTGAAAAAGAGTGCACAAAATGGTTTAAAACATACTTGTATATTTTGCAGAATATGGACAACTAATGCCATGTATTAATGCAGACCTGAATAAACAATTAAACATAGCAGAAAAGTCAAAATGAAACCATGAACTGGAAAAAAGTAGGTTGCACAGTTAAATAGATGAGGAAAATGCATCCCAGCAGAAATCGTGGGCTGCGCAAATTTTGCTACTACTGTGTTGCCCTTGGAAATTGTGTGACACACAGCAAGAGGATTAATTCATTACAAAGCAGCTTTAAAAGCATGTGCAGCTTTTGATTGAAAGCAAGTGGAGTATCTTCCCAATAAGTTTTTTATATATTTTATTTTTTAATACATTTTATTAATTATTCTGAATTGAGAGAAATATATGTGGGCATGAATGTGTAAAAATCTGGCCCTTATAGTTTTGATTTGTTCCAAAAGTGTTGTGTAAGAGTAATAATTATTTTGTGTTCAGGGTGCCACAAAATATTTTTCACTATTTATGGAATTAAAATTTCTTCACTACTTCACATAGTAAATCAAAATTCACATATCTTTTTTTTGTAAATAAAAATAATAAATGCTGTTTTCTCTCTAATAACTTGTTTATGTAAAATATATATATGCATGTTTGAGGCCCATTAATTCATTCAAGTTCTTCAGAAAACAATATTTTGCAAATTTGTTTTAGTGCAGTTTTCCTGAAGCTTGAATCTGTGAACAAATTAAATCTTTGCAAAGGTACCAGATTTTATTTACTGTTTGATTTTGGGGTATACTGGCACTTATTACATAATATTATACTTGGCAATAATCTAACCTAAAAATACATATAACGAATTGCTACAAGGCTACGACAACTGAATCACAACCTTCTGTTCCTATTTTTCAAGTTATCCATATGCAGTAGTTACTCTTGAATGTCCAATTTTTTTCAATGTGCATATACATTTAGCAGTCATTTGCCGAGTATAATCGTTTTTAGTCCAAAAGAGATATAGCCCTAATTAAGCTATTAGTTTCGAAATGGGATTTTCACTATAAACAGCTGTATCACTTGCTTCCCAGTATAACAGAGTTTACAACAACTGTTTTGTTTTATTTAAAAAAAATAAATAATGAAGAATCTATGTATTTTTCTTGTGGAAAAACAGTGCCGAGTGCCTGGGCCATCAAATTCTGAAAATTTTGAAAAATTTTGAATAACAAATTTGAATTTGAATATAGTCATCCATCCGTACCTGTGTACCTGGAAACCCAAATTCTGTATTTCATATTTTGTTAAAAGTTTTATGAATTTTTGTTTAACAAACTCAATGATTTAAAACTGAACAGTTGAAACACTGTACAGAAAAAAACATTTTTATCTCTATCACGCGAGACAGTCGGAAATTCTAAAGATATGCTGTTTTTAACTTTTTCGTGATTTTGCTGTTGAATTGAATTTTATGTGGTGTGAGTGTGAAGAACATGACATTTAATTAATAAATTTAACACACAAAACATTAATTATGAAAAGAGAAGAGAAAAAGTTTTGTAAGGCATCTTAAGAAAACTGAACATTGGTTTGCTAAACTGAGAAAAGACTGCAAAAAATAGAAAAATGTATCCCAACACTTAACACTGGATTCGTAAGTCATATTCATCCTATGATAACTAGATGGGTCATCTTTTTGATTAAAAACAGGAATATCTGCATTAGTCTTACTGACTGTGAAGTAAAGAGAGATATTACTAAAGGGTGTCCACAGGATGGTATTCTTTCTCCGTTCCTGTGGAACCTGGTATTCAACTCACTCTTAGTACTTCTATGGGAGGAGCCCGGCCTGTCACAGGCATATGCAGATGACCTTATTGTGTCACTACAGGGTTTCGATATTAGAACCCTACACAATCAAGCTCAGCGAATCTTGAATAAAGTATCACACTGGGATGAAAAAAATGGTCTATCTTTCTCTGCTGAAAAATCCTAGGTCATAGTTTTCATGTGGAACAGGAAGTGGAAACTGGCAGATTTATATTTGGGTAACCAGATTATCAGACGTAAGGAATGCATTAAGTATCTAGGATGTTACCTGGACAGTAAACTCACATGGCTCACCCATATAAAAGAGAAGGCACAAACTGCCACAAATGTATTAATACTTTGCAGGCGAATCATTGGCAAGCAATGGGGCCTTAACCCAAAATCTACTCTATGGATTTATACTGCCATAGTCCGGCCAATGCTTTCTTATGGATGTATGGTCTGAATCAATGTTATTAACAAAAGCACATATGTAAACATTTTACAGAAGGTGCAAAGACTTGCTTGTAGAATTTTTACTGAAAATTCCACCCTTGAAACTGTTTGAGCAGAGAAGCAATTTAAGTCATGTATAGGTTTGTTGAGCAGAGAAGCAATTAAAGTCATGTATAGGTTGAATAAGAATGGCACATGGTGCCAAAGGACAGGTTTCGATCATAAAAGCCACCTGAAAAGCCACATTGACATATGCTTAGACTTGGGCAATGAGATTCCTATAATCTCTATGCCCAAGGATGCAATTACTAAAACAATAGTTCCAGATAAACTATTCTCAACTTATATACCAAAAAGGAATAAGATAGAATCTCTAATTGACCTAATCCCAACAGGATCAGTTGAATGCTACACAGATGGATCAAAATCCAACTTCACTGGAGCTGGAGCCATTATAAGAACCAAGGGATCTGGAGAAGATTTCATTAGATTTCATCTATACCTGGGGTAAACTAACAACTGTTTTCCAAGCCGAGGTTCTGGCGATCAGTATGGTCGCCAGGGAGCTCTTAGCTAAAAATACTGTTGACAAGAATATATATATTCTCTCTGACAGCCAATCAGCCATCCTTGGTATGGCTAATCGTGTCAAGTTACAAAACTGTGTTTTGAACTGTACTCAACATCTCAATTCTCTGGCTCAGGCCCATAACACCATTAGTTTAGTTTGGTGCCAGGTCATTGTGATTTTGCTGGAAATCAACTAGCCAATAAAGTAGCTAAAGATGCTTTGCAACTACCCATGTCTGGCCCAGAACATTTTTACCCAGTTTCATATCAAACTGTTCTTGTCGAATCTCCTCTCTGCCCAGCTTGTGGAGAAGAAGAGAAAACACCTATTCACTTCCTGGGATGATATATGGTGTTTTCTGTCCCTAGAAACAACTTCCTTGGGTTTTCCTACACCAGCTTTGATCAGGCCTTTCTATACAAAGGGCTGTCTGGGATAATATGAAATACCTACAGGTAAGATATATGAAACACCTACAAGTAAGGTGAATTTGAAACCACAAGAAACAAGCAATAAGACATCCTGTGAGTCTCCTCCTTTTTTTTGGTAAAAGAAATTATGCAGGGAATTCCCTCTCACAGCTGTGTTTTGGAATATAAATATAGATATGAAATCTATATACACCACCTGGCCATCTGGCTTGAGGAAGTACCTTTGTCCGCCTTATTTAATTTATTTTTCAGACTGGCCATCAGACCCCTGTTTGGTCAAGAGTTTGTGTTTGGTGATTTGGGAGGGACTGAATTGGCTCTTCATTCAGTTGGGATGTTTTAACGATTTAACCGACCCCCCCTGAATTTAGGGATGGGATCTTTTACTAATACTATATATTTGGTGGCAGTTTGGGATCTTATCTACTTATTTACTATTTACCTTAACATGAGAATAATCATTTAAAATCTTTGTTTTAAATGTTCAAATGGCAAAAGAGTAATGGGCAACATTGCCTAAGCTCTTTTTCCTTCTTTTTATAAGAAGGAAGTACCACCATTGTTATTGTTAACACTGGATTCTAAATATATGCTGTTTTTAAAATTTTTGCAATTTTGTTGAATTGGAGATGGTGTAAGTACAAAGAAAATTATCCTTAATAGTGTTGCATGTGTACAAATTCATAATAGGTTGAATGCACACAGGTCCAGTGATAGGTTAATAAAATTATGTTATCAAAAGACTCACTTCAGAGTTCTTTCTTTCTACAGAAATACTCATTCAGGTGTTTCCAGTATCACAGAATACACTCAGTAACACTTCAAAACACTAAGAACTTAAATACAGTGCAATGCAAAAGAGCAAAGATACTTCAGTATCTCCAAACTTATGCTGAACTAACAGCAACTCAGATGCTCTTTCTGGTCTATGCAGCTTGCACCCAACCACCAAGATATTTCTTGTACTTTCTCCTTCTTGAAATTACTAGATTGCATATGGGGGCGAAATTACGGTTACAGCTAATGTAGTGATAAATTACTTCTATTCAAATACAAGACATATTACGGTGATACAGAGACTGGACCAAAATGTTGCCAAAACCATTTCCACGTTGGCAATATCTCGTCAATTTTAATGTGATAGCTATTTACTTAATGTTAAATAAGCTTGCTCTTAAATTCTTATTTTCCTGGTAGAGCATCATTCCTCTTTTTTTTTTCCACGTTATATTATTCAGAAAACTACAACCATTTCACATATAATTGCACTAAAGTAATCTATTTCCATGTGAAAAATTCCTAACATTGCCCTCCTCCCGAAGACTGCACATCCCAAGCAGCACAGTCCCTGGACTGGAATCAATACTTGCAACTAAGGCAAATCAATGCAATATTTGAAACAGTAATTTTGGTAAATAACATAAAACAAATGAATAATAAATAGAAACAAATAGGGCTATGGTCTTAGTATATTATTTATATTATGTACAGTATGGGGACTGTATAGACTGTGTACTATGGCCATAGTAAGGGATTAAGAATTTTTTTACGGTATTTCATTATTGTGGATAAGTTAGATTTAATAATTCCTCAGCTTTTGACAATTAAATTTTTCAAATTTACACCATGTCTCTTCTAGGATTTTTAGTTTTATTTGCAGATCTATCCCTGTTTGTTTCCTCTTGGCCACAAGTCACTTTCTTATCATTTTAACTTAAAACAACCAGAATGCAAGTTTGCATCCTGAAAACAACCAGAGTGCAATCTACAGGATTGTTGTATAGTGCTGCTAGAAAATTTGGAGAATAAAGACATGTTGAAGCATGCTGAGAACTCATATGTAACTACAGTCCAGTAAATTTATGTAAATATAATTAATTTATTACTGAAACAAGAAAAACAGCTGAGGCAAAAGATGAAAAACTTTCAAAAAGTTTTTGTTAAATGAAAAAAATCTAATGACGAATGGCCTGAAAAACAGTTTGTAATTCGTGCTAACCGAAATTCACATTAATCAATAAGATCATGTACGTTGCTGCCAAGTATGAATTTTAGTTCATGTTGTTCAACTGGGAGTTTTCCTATTTTGTCTTTTTATCTTAAAAATTCATTAACGACACTTTTATAGTACTGAAAAATCCTCTTCTTTCCCTTTCCTCAAAGAATATATTAAACTCTTCTTCCCCCGCACTTGAAGAAAATAATAAACTGAATAATGTTTGGGGTCGTTAGTTTTAACATTTTTCTTTTAAATGTCTTAGATTATCTGCCATTTCTTACAGTGAAGAAAAAGTTTGGAATTTTCTTGTGAATGATAGTAGTTAAAACTTTTTTTATAATACTGTTTTTGAATAATATAAAGTATAAATTAGTGAGAATATTTATTGGACACACAATTTCGTACACTTTTTAATTTTTATTTTTTACCAAAAAATAAATAAAATAAAATAAAATAGAAAAAGCTGAGTATTTTTGAGAACTTTTTTTCTTTTGATCTTTTTTCTCAGAATACAGTCAAAAGTCGTTAATCCGGACTTGTCAGGACTTCGGCAATTCTGGATTATCGATTTTTCTGGATTATATATCATCAGTTTAAATCTCGTAAGATGGCATGCAGAAATTCTAAAATTAAAAATATGAAACCGTAATTTATAATATAAATTAGGATCTAAAGGGTATCAAAATTTACAAAAAAAAAAAAAAAAAAAAAAAAAAGCTTAATATTTATTTGTTTACTTTATTAAACATTTCTTTCAATGCGTGCATATGTAAAGCGTACATTACGCATAGTCGAAATTAGAAAATTGCAACCAGAAAATTCTTTGATGTGTATTCGTGATATTTATAATGACGAGGAATTTGATTTAAATCATATCAAAGATGGAGTACAAGATGAAATACTACATTTAGTAAGGAATTATAAGCTGAACAAAATAAAAATATCTTCCCTGAAGATAAGGATAGTGCTGACAGATCAACTTCTAGTTCATTGCGCTCTGCGACGTCCCCCCTCCCTGCAGAGCAGCCTGAAATTGATAAACAGATTTCGGAATGATTAGAGAAACAAATCATCTCTCTGTCACTTTTTTCATACCTTTATCCATTTTTTGCAGCAATTCCACTTTTTGTTTGTGGACATCGAAACATACTTTTGTTTTGTAGATCCTTTGGGAGCTCCAGCATCGGAAATTCTATTTGTTATAATCAAAAGTTCAAGCTTACTTTTATAAAATTGCTCTTACAGTCTGCAAAAAATAATAAGCTGGATCCAATTCGAAGATTAAGGAACAGTGCGATCATCAACATTAACTGAAATAGATAATTAGATAATTTTAGCTTATACCGTCCGTTATACATTAAATGCGCATGCGAAAACGTATTCTGCGCTTGCGGCCACGCATATGCGTTGTCGTAAAGGTCTTACGCGCATGCATAAACGCCTATGCGCATGTGTCAACGCGGCGCATGCGCAGCTTTGAGGTCCGGATTATAGATCATTTCTGGATTATGGGTGTCTGAATTAACGACTTTTGACTGTATTTAAAAATTTTGTGTTTTATTTTAGAAATTTTTTAGCTTCATCAAAAGGTAATTTACAATTATCTTACATTTAATAGGTGCAGTGGCTAATAGATAATTATGAAACTGCAGAAGGAGTTAGTCTACCTAGAAGTACTTTGTACAATCACTATTTGAGACACTGCTCTGAGCACAAGTTAGATCCAGTTAATGCTGCTTCTTTTGGCAAGCTAATTCGCTCTGTTTTTCTAGGCTTGAGAACCAGACGACTAGGGACAAGGTATAAGGTTTTCACCAGCAGTTAATAATTTTTGTGATATTCTATATAAGTGTAAATTTCTTGTTTATTTCTGAATTTTTTTTAGGGGAAACTCCAAGTATCATTATTATGGTATAAGAGTTAAGCCAAACTCTCCTTTAAATCAAATATCTGAAGACAACTCGGGTCTGAGGCAGCAGGCATTAAATCAAATAAAAAAGTGAGCATTTATTATTATTTTTTAAAGTGTATGTAGCATTTTCTTTTTCTTAATTTCATATTACAGATCTCCATAGTAAAATTAAAAGTAGAATTAATAAAATTACTGATTGCTAAAAAAATAAAAGCTTGTAAATTTTTTTTGGAATAGTGTATAGTTTGCTCAAAATGTTCAAATTAAACATATATTACAATTCTGTTGAACAAGAAGTGGGTGAAAAGGTTAGATTTCATGACCATATGCTGCATGTTTATAAAATCCGTATATGTTTTAGTCTTTTATGTTTCATATGTGGCATGTCAAAAAGAAAGAAAAGAAAAAGAAAAAATAGCTAGGTTTGTGTATGTCGTAATAGTTAAAATATTATCTAGAGGTATATTTTAAATTTTGCATTAGAAGTGGCCAGCCATAATTTGTTTTGAGGTCTTTAAAAATTGGATAATTGATTCTCAAGTGAAGTATTTTGCTAATTTGTGTTATATAAAAACTTAATTTGTTTTTTTATTTAATAGTGAAAAAAAAATAATATATTACGCTAAAGAAATAAACGAGATTCTCGTATGAAAACCATATTGTCCAAGTTTTCCTAATTTTAATTCATAACACATCTCGTACATAAACATATTAGACTGAATTACAAACCAAGTATAATTAATCAAGTAATCCAAGAAAAAGAATAAACCTAATAAGCCAAAAATATATACATTTCAGAATTCTAAAAATTTCAATATAAACTTTCCTTGCAAGGCCTGCAAGGAAAAAGATAGCAGACAATTGCAAACGCAAGATCGCCAAAGATTGCATGATCATTTTATTTTAAACAACTTTCACATCATATAGTTATCAAGTTTATATGAAATGTAGTCTTTTTTTATCAGAAATTAATTGTGTGAAATTAACTGTTATCTGCCTGGAAAGCATGAACATTTTTTTTGTAGTCTCATTTTAGTTGTTTAATTGTTATGTTTTAGTTAACTTAAATACATCAGGGAATGAAACTATAGAAACTTGGGAATTTTTTCGAGTATAACACACCAATTTTTAAGCCTAAAAGTATAGAACATAAATGAGATATATATAGGAATTTAATAAAGGGCTGATCGTGTGTTGTCATCTAGCTGATACATCTGTTGCCAAGATCTTTACATATTGTTGCGTTTTTCTTGGTTTCTGACACCAGTTGTTACATTATTTTTTTCCTTCACGTTCGGACGGGGTTCGTAGATTTGTAGTGAATAATGATGACACTTAATGAAGTATCGAAACACTTTTTATTGGCCAGTATTTAATCAGGACAGCTCCAAAACACTTTTACAGACGTCGAAGATCTACTATAAACATGCTGACACGTTCAGCGACACAGCCTTCACACTGTCAGGCAATAACGGTGGAAACAGCTTCACTGCAAAGCACCAGAGTACAGCTTCCGACTCTGCTTGGTCGTTCTCGGAACTCCACGTACTCTCGAGAATCTCCATGCTACAATTCGTGATGCACAAGAGCTCTCGACTCAGCACACTCTAAGATGAAACTCGACGATGCACTAATTCGCGATACACTAAAAGACTCTCTCGATGCACTCGACGGCGAACTCGGCGCTAGATTTCAAGAGACTTGCTCAATGACTGTCAGCTCGCTAGACGAGGCACACACACTAGCACTCTATGCGAGGCACACACTTACTCGCCCTCGCGATGAGACACACTCGATACTAACTGACTGTGGACCAGCAAGGTTTATATAGCTTTCGGCTTGTGTTCAAGAACATTCTGGGCTAAACCGGTAAGAATTCGTTCCAGAAGGTTCTCTATTCGTCCATGCCATATTGCCAATTTTATCGCCAAATGGGTGATTTCACGCCAAATGTGGCAACCCTACCTTCCCTTGCCATTTTATGGCAACCCTAAAACTGCTTTGTGGAGTAGCCATCTCACCAGGCCTTGACATTTCGTAACAATATATATTGCTAGTGTTGCCAAGTTCTTTACATATATTAAGAACCAAATGTCCAGGCTCATGTTTATATACTTGAGAGGGGAATTTATCATGTTGGAGTAATTGCCAAAGTAATAGGAAGTTAGCTGAAAATAGTAGTAAAATGTTAAAAAGAGTGATAGCCAGAAAACATAGAACAACTATTGCTGAAGTTATAGTGACATTAACCTTCTTCTGAACTTATACATTTAAAAATAAACTGTCTGTCAGGAGGTTTAGAAAGTTAATATTCACAGATGGGCAGCTGTAAAAAAGGCATTGATAACCAGGACCCATGCTAAATGCTAGATAGTTTGAGTGCTATCAGGAGTGTAAAACTTAGACATTACATAACACAAAATGTGTTTTAGTAAAGTGTGCACCTAATGGCTTTGGGTCAAGAACTTCTTCAGAAGTATATTATCCAGACTGTTGCATGCTGACAGAAAAGCATGGAAATGCATATGTGACAGTCTGGGCCATACTAGCATGGAACTTTTGTGGAACACTAATTGTTCTAGATAGTCACATCACAATTCCCTCAGTGGTGTTCAAACCTCAATGGTGTTTAGGGAACAAAATTGGAAAAATATTGCTCGTAAAGTGAAATAAATTTTGTTAACTGAATGTATAAATCATAATTTTAATGACTGAACAAGATTCATGTAGGTCTTTACCAAGAATGTTTTCAGTACTGGCCTGCAAAAGAGGGCTTACATCATATTAATAAACTATTACATTATAGCTAGAGCTTTTAAATTCATTATACAGTACAAAGTCCATAATCCGGATGTCCATTATCCGGAATGATATATAATCTGGACCTCAAAGCCACAAACTTACGCATGTGCGCTTCTGATAGTGAAGAAAGTGACAGAGAAATTATTGAAAATGAAAAAATTTCGATCGACAAGTTAGCCAGTATTCTCGACACGGCAATTACAGGGCTTGAACAGTGGAACTTTGTAACTCAACAAGAAATTATGTCTGTTTATAGAATTTAAGAGAAAGTATTAGCACAAAAAACGAAGCAACTTAAACAACTTACATTGAAAGAAATGTTTAATAAAGTAAACAAATAAATATTAAGCTTTTTTTTTTGTAAATTTGGATACCCTTTAGATCAAAATTGCTCTTTATTTCATAAATTACATTTTCATATTTTTAATTGTATAATTTCTGCATGCCATCCTACCAGATTTAAATTGATGATCTATAATCCGGAAAAACCCCTAATCCGAAATCGCCAAAGTCCCGACGAGTCTGGATTATGGATTTTGTACTGTACGATCCTTGTTATGCTACATTTGTACATATAGACCAGCTATGTTTAGTTTCCTTCCTTCCTTCCCCCCTTTTTTTTAAATAAATGCTAAGGTGAAAGATTTTAGAAATAAACAATTTTGGTTAGTTTTCCATATGCTTCAGTAAGTATACACAGTATACACAGTTTTGTTATTGACTCATGTCTTTCACACAGTTTTGTTATTGACTCATGTCTTTCACACAGTTTTGTTATTGACTCATTCTATCATGCCATGTTTACTCCCATGTGCTTTTCTGTAGAAAATATTATGATGATGATAGTTGCAATCATGTCAAAGCCTAGGTTATATTCACTAGAAATGTAACAACTAGGCTTGAACAATTGGTTTTGTTTTTAAATAATACTTTGGTATGAAAGCCTATGACATTTATTGAAAAATTTATTTGTATTATACTGTATAAATAATTCATACTACGTATGTACAGAAAGTAAGTTCAACCTAATTTTTTTGCCATACCAGTGCTCCAAACATGCATACTAGTCTTATTTGTCCCTTGCCTTTCCACTGGTGCTATTGCATTCAATCTGTGTTCTGTTTTCAGTTTGTTGTGATTACAAAAAATGTTTAAGACAACTGATGAACCTGCCAACTGTGAAATTTGGTCTGTAACTCGTTTTTTGAAGGGAAGAGATGTTAAACATCCTGAAATTAGTCAAATTATTGAGATTTATAGGGAAATGCAATAAGCAATAGTGAGAATATGGGTTAGAACATTCAATGAAGGACTAATAAATATTAGCCTGGAGTAGGTAGCCTGTGTTGCCAATAAAGATTTGGTAAGGCAAGTTGAAAAACTTAGGGAACAGAAGCTGAACACTTTCTGAGGAATTTCTTAAGATTTCAAAAACTGTTTTGAACTGATTTTCAAGAACTGAGAACTGAACAAAATTGTTTTCTGTTGCTTAGGTTACCATGATTTCTATTGCTCAGGTTACTATGAGTTTTGTGCCTGTTGGGTACTAGAAATGTTTGTATATATCCACAAAACAAGCAATTTGGCAGTGCTTTGATGTTTTTTACTCGATACAGTGATGAGAGAGAGAAATTATAATGACTAGAGACAAAACTTTGGTTTTTTTTTATTGAACTCCAGAATTGAAACAGGAGTTGATACAGTGGAGATGCACAGGATCTGCCAAAAAGCAAAAATTCAAAACATCAGTCCCAACCTAAAAAATAATATGCACTGTGCTTTGGGATATGAAAGGGATTCTGCTTGTTTAATTTCTTTCTAGAAGTAAAACCATTAATGCTGTTCAATATTCTGAGACTGAAAATATTTTGACATGCAGTTTAAAACAAAAGGAAAAAAATGTCAGGGTAACTCAAGAAATAACCTTTCATGTAAAAATAAATTTGACTTGCAAAAGCTTTTGTGGTCTTTCTTTTTACAAAAATAGAACTTCTTGAACATGGTTTGTAATTAAAGTTCAGATTTCAAAACATTGTAAAAGAAAGAATCTCTGATCAGAATAATCTGAAATTTAACCTGAATAAACATTAAGCAATGGAATTAATTTGACAAAGAAAATAAGTACATCCAGCAATTATCAGTAGATGGTATTGTACTCATCAAGCACTAGAATTTTGCTTTCGGAAGGGGGGGAATTAGCCGCAAAGTTGTGAAATTAATTAGCATACACACACTATACATTAAATTTCCATTACTCTACATCTGGGTTTTTTGTCGTGACTCTGTCATGGAAGAATCATGTTGCATTGATGAATCCTGTTTACATCAGAACAGGGACTGTATGTTAGAGTGGTCAATGTCGAAAAAAGGCAAAATAGTGCCTGCCGTTTTGGGGGCGGGGGGAGAAAAAATTTTAAATTGTATTTAGGAAATTCTAGGCATTAAAAGATATAAGATTTGGTTCGCTGTCTACAAATGACTTGCAAAATATGATTCTTAAATTTGAAAAGGCTGATTCATTGGATGTGAAACATGGAGAGGCAGGGAAGCAATTGCAAGCTGGAGCATTGCAGGAAGAGGTGAGCTGTAGTGTGCAGGAAATAGTCCAGCCAATAGGTATGCCTGTCAACATGGTTCATTTAATGAAACATCCTGCCGTATTCTTCATGAGACACCAAAAAAATGTTGTGTAAATCAGTCAGATTGCAAACTTGGTTGTCTTGAAGCACACATTACATACCACATCCACAGTTATCACTACTTATGTACTCCAGTCTGTTGTGACGCATGCTGTTTTGGGCTTCCAGCTCATAGCAGAATATTGTGATCTGCACACTGAATATTTCTTGCATCAGTCGTAGATGCATGTATCCATGACTTTCTTTTCACAATATTTCCATGAACTCTTAAATTGTGTGTTGTTTGTTAAACTCTTATTTCTCATATCTGATTGTTATCATAATTTGTGCATTTTGGAATTACCCCCCCCCCATTTGACAAATGAAATTCCATTGCTTCACATATATGCAGGTCACTCTGACCTATGGTTATATTTACAGCATTTTGAAATCAAAATTTTATTATAATCATTCTGAACATTGCTGAAAACAGTAGTTTTATATCACATAAAATGTTTCTTAGAGTGGGATCTTCTTGTATTTGAATAATATGGTATGGAAGAATACAGTTCTGTTTTATTAATACTAGTAAAGTAATTTTTAAAATGTAAATTTAAATGAATTTATTTTGCATATTTTAAATATAGTAGCAGATATATTCATCTAAAGCATTTTAAATTGCTTTCTTATAAAAAAAGTGGAATTATTGCATTATTATTAATAACGGACATATTTATTATCTTAAAAATATTCTATATAACATTATTATTTAGCTTTTTTTACATGCAATTGATACTTTTTGTTAATTTATATCCTTGTACATAAAAGTTAATGTATGGAGAATCAAAGTTAGCTGAAATGGAAGTGCAAATATTTGGAGTGTGTTGTTATGTCATGCTTACCTGTAACTGGTGCTAAATCATGTTGCTTCGTACAGTTTCACAGTTGAAGATATAATACATAAGTACCATATATTTATTCATATTTAATGTTTCCCCAAATAAATCTTTATTCTTAACAATATTTTTTGTTTACAAAATTTAACTTTTTTTAGTTGTATTTGCTTTGTACTTGCAGTCGCTTCAAAGCTAATTTACCTGCAAAATCTGAAAGCAATGATGGTAGCAGTACCCCCAGTACTCCTGGTGTAGCTAGTCAAACAGAAAGTACTCCAACACAACCTCCACCTGTCCCTCAGCATCAGCATCAGCATCAACAGTATCTGGGAGATGCATCAGCAGCCATTCCAAACTTCATCGAAATTGATACGTGTAACTTTCCCTTACCTGAAGGGATCCATATAGACCATCTTGAGGCATTTAAATTATTGTATAGAGAACACTGTGAAGTAAATATTTTATTCAGATTAATCTTTTGGTATTGTATATTTTATACTTGCAGTTTTGTATATAAAAATCAGAATATATATTAAAATTAGTTTACAATGTATTTAAATCTTTGAGTGTTTCTCTCACTTCTATGTTTTGAAATCCTTTTTTCAAGTTCCAGAGTTTTCTCTGGAATGGAGAATTTGTAATTTTTAGAAGGGTTGGGAAGGACATTTGCTGCTGTATTTTTATGTTTGGCAATATAAGATGTATTTGATGCTCATTTCTTAATTTTGTCATCTTTTAATAATCTTCTTTATCATTTGCTTGGTTGTTTTTATAACTTAACTAGCAGAAGTACCCGATGCCACTTAAGTTAGATAAGTTAGATTGAGAGAATACATCTAACAACAAAGAGAACAATACTGCTGTAATCCTTCTCTAACAACGATGCAAAAAAACGAGATTCATTGTCATATATTTTTCGGTCTCATGCGATATGGAACCCACGTAAAAAATTTTGATAGAAAAATAAGCTAATTCTCTCTTATTATATCAGCAACAATAGCACACAGTTTGGTCGTAAAGGCTCAAGTTCCATCCAATATTTCACCTATATTCAATTTTAGTCGATTAAACATATTAAAAAATGGATCATAATTGATCCGAAATCAATAACATGAACAAACACACAAACAAACATTCTTTATATGTATAGATTTTGTAAAATTTATAAGTTTTTTATTAACAAACTCGACGATTTGAAAGCGAGCAGTAGCAATGCTTTTCCAAATAAAACATTTTTATCTCCAATGTACGATACTGTTGCCACTTGGGAAAATGATAGTGAAAATTAGCGTTTTCAGAGTTTTTAATTAATATTTCGGCTGATTAAAGTCGTATGAAGATGGGAATAGCCGAAATGGCATCCCACGGATTTTGGGAATTGGTAATAATGTATTTAATTTTTGGCAATGCTGTTTTCATTTCATCATAAGATGTAGAAATTTTTTATTAACAAACTCTAAGATTTGAAAGCAAGCAGTGGCAACAACTTTTGAGATAAGCAGATTTTCATCTCCAGCTTGCTAGACTGTTACTACTCGAGTAAATGAAGGCAAAAATATCATTTTTATGAGTTTTTCATTAATATATCTGATTTTTAGCTTTTTTTGGGGGGGGGGGGACTGCACGCCAACCTTTTCCGGGACCCAGAAAAGTATAGTAGAAAGTTTGGTGATGATAGCTATAGTAGTGACTGAGTTATAAGAGGACAAACATATAGACTTTCTTCTTTATATATATAGATATCAAAAATATTTCTCAGAAAGATATTGCATTGTGTTTTATCATGGCTTCTTCTTCTTTTTTTTTTTTTTTTTTAAGTTTGATCAGATTATTTTAAATTATTAATTTAAATCATCTTTTCAGAGTAACAGAAGCAATTCAAAACATAAGAGGCAGTAAAAACATACCTTTGCATTCATTTTGAAATTATGTGATTATAATTTTGTATATTATCTGTGTTTTATACTATAATGAACATTTCTCTCATTTCGTTAGATATGGCTTGACAGAAACATTTAACTTGCATGTGATTGTGCTTGATCTTGGGTTGCCTTGGTATTGTATATTCATTTCATTGAGAATTTTAAAATTAATGCCTCCTCCATAGCAGCACATTTGAGTGTGTTCACTAACTTGTTAGGTGCACAGTCTCTTTACATAACAAAAGCTTTTTTTCTCTCATCTCACTAACATTGGATAGGGTGGTGATGATTTGCTAAAGCACACAGAAGTTATCCATGTTGTCATGTCTTTCCTGTAATCTTCCCCTTCTGCACTTGTATCTGCCATTGCAATTTTTTCCATCCAAGTTTTTTTTTTGTCGCATGTTTTGGCTATCGGGCAACAGCTTAATACCAAATCACACCTCGAGATGCAGTAATGAATGCAAGTTTCGTAATTTTGCAATATATTTGAACCATTTTATGACAAATGCATACATTAATGATGGATGTAGTGTGTAATTGCATGTATATGTTTATGCAGTAAATTCTTCCTACATCAGAATTTATTGTATTAAGGAACTTGCTGCCCATCCTGTGCCTTGTTCATTCATTATTGTTCATTGCGGAGGATAAAGACAAAATTATGTCTGCATTTTAAAACCATCCATGTTATATAGATAATAAAAAAATTACACAATGAAAAGATTGTGTGCAAAAGAAAAACATAGTTTTCAGCAGTTTTGTATTCTTAAAAGGTGAACAATAGGAAAAAATGTGGTGTGTAGTAAACAAAATCTAACTCTGTACTCTTTGTGTATATATTTATAAGTATGCAAATCAAAATAGTTACATTGTATTTATATATATATATATATATTAGTATGCACAATGGAATGCATGGTTGTCTGTTTTATGACATTTTAAAAAAATATTTCTGAAATTTTCAGTTGTGGTTTGATTTTTATATTTTTCTTACATCAGACTTTTGAATGTGATATTTGCATGGTTCTGATGAAGCTTACCTTCCAAGTCCTTTTATCAGTGTAATCATTGCTTCCGTAAACCTACTTAGTTTTTTGAAGATTCCATTTTATTTCTCCTACTTTATCATGAAGCATTTCTTCTTTGGCATTGAGATGCACACTGTTAACATTTTCTTCTTTTTGATACACTTGGCTTTTACATGCAGCATATATAAAAGAACAAAAAATAAATAAATTATGTTTGTCTAGTGAAATTTGAAAGCAAATTAAAATCATAGTTGAAGCAAAGCAAAGTTTATGTTGTTGCTTTATTTCATTTTCTAGAACTTTATGTATATGATTTTAGGCAACTTTCATGATATTTGAAACCAAAGCTTATTGACCATTATTATAAAAAGAAAGAACTCTGTATCTTATTTTTGGAGTTTCTTTGAAATTTATGAATATTTCATGTATTCGACTGAAATTTTAATTCTTATGTGCCATTAAAAGAAGTGGTTTCTAATTGATTACTGATGTTTATTATGAGTTATCTATTAAATAATTACACATTTTGTAGCAGCTTTATAGTCATGATCGTAGTGAAACTTTTTTATTGTATTTCATATGAAGGATTTGGACTGTTAAATTTGAGGTCTATGGCGTAGTTTAAATTATATTACACTCTAAAACAAAAAAATCGATGCACCAAGAAGGAATCATCCGGTTGCTTTGAAATTTCGTATGCTTAAATGTTTTGACCAAATATGCAGATGATTAAAATTTAGTGTCCAATGAATGAATAGTGCGATCTCCAGCACATTGGAACCGTACATCCAGCAGATGTATATAAGGAGCTGTTCTTGAACTGTTGTTAAAAATTTCTGTTGCATTGTGATTTAGGATACCTTTCAACGACTGAAAAAATGCTTCAGCGCAGAATTAAGCTCATTACCAGCAACTTTCAGAGTTTGAAAGAGGTTGTATCTTTGGATTGAAAGAGGCAGGTTGGGCAAATGAGAATTGCTCCTCATATGAGCCGAAGCAATGCATTTATTAGAAAATGTTGGCAAGAATGGGTGTACAATGGCAGATTACAGTGTCATGATGGTAGTGGTCGACCTAGGGCCACAACAGATCGGGAAGACAGAGCGATTGTCAGATCAGTTATCACAGCACCTGATTCATCGCTATCAGCCATCAGACATGTAACCAGCACACGAGTGTCCACCATGATCATAGAGCGAAATCTATGCTTATACTGACAATTACACCACCTGCCACACACGCCTGCATACTGTCAAGCCAGATTACAGTGGTGCTTGGCTCGATCAGGTTGGAAGGATGCTGACGGGACGTATAGTCTTTAGTGACGAATCCCGCTTCCAACTGTGTCGTTACGATCCTCGAAGAAGTGCCTGCAGACGCACAGAGCAGCGTGCTGATCCTGCGTTCACTATTGCCTGCCACACAGGCTCTCAATGAGTTGTGGTCTGGGGTGCCATTTCCCTTGATAGTTGGACCCTTTGATCGTCATTAGAGGCACACTTACAGTACAGCAATATGTCGATTATTAGACCTGTTTTGCTACCGTTCCTTTTGCAGTACCCTGGTCTTAGTTTTTAGCAAGAAAATGCCAGTCCACATACGGTACATATTGCTATGAACTAACTTACAGCTTGTCAAACACTTCCTTGGCCAGCCCGATCGCCAGATCTCTCTCCCATCGAGCATGTCTGGGATATGATGGGAAGGCGACTGCATCTACCAGGGAATGTTGATGTCTTACAATTCAAGCAAATTTGGCAAGAAATATCACAGGAGACCATCTGGGAGCTTTATCAGTCTATGCCACTCTGTGTGGCAACTTGCGTCCAGTCTAGAGATGGGTTAACTTCTTATTGAGGCTGTTACTTTATAACTATGTAACTCTGAAATAAATCATTCAGTTGTTCTGAAATTTTAATCATTTTTTATTCTGTACGTGATATTCCTATCCACCAATTTTGGTCTCCATCGGACAACTCCTTAGTGCGTTGACTTTTTTGTTATAGAGTGCATTACTGTGTGTCAAAACACCTGAAAAGTAAAATGCTTTTAGAACAGGGTTGCCACACTACTTGGAAAAATGGAAAAAGTCAGGGAATTTCATATGGCTATTCCCCCCCAAAAAGTGAGTTTTGTGCCGACGTTCGAAGCGATCACTTTCTTGGCGAATTATGTATCGTGAGAGCATCGTTCGGGCAGCTGGCGTAGAGCCAAGTTTTGCAGCTCCATTCAGATTGTCTTTTAGAAAGGCAAAGCAAGTTTCCAGCAACTTTTGGTTTCCAGTAACCTCGAGTATCGAAAGGCTCCGATGCGCATATGCAGTGCATGTTGAACTGAGGAAAATACGTATTCTCGTATAAAATAAAATCAGTTTAATTCTAGTATAGGGTACAATGGAGGTTAGAATAGCCTCCATGTACCATATGGAGCATATGGTTGTACGGGATTTATGGATATTATGATGAGCAGTAAATGGGTCATTTTGGTGTTGACGGCAATTTTCAAAATCGTGCCAAGGCCATACTAGGATTTTACCACAAAATCTTTTTAACCCCCCTTTTTTAATAAATGCCTTATTTGTCATTTTGCAGTAAAATAAAAAATAAGAAACAGTAACCAGTCACCTAGGCTAACCATTTAATGTAAGTATATTCACCAAAATATCGTTGGTTATTCTAATTCAATTTTTGAATAATTATCTTATTTTAATGTTATTTGTGTCATTTAATGTTGCTTCTTCTCTCTAAATTTATTTATTATTTGTTAGTATTAGTAAATAATACTTTCAAATTTCAGGAAATTTTCTCTGGCATAATCCTGAAATTAATTCTAGCAACATGATGACATACCATCACGAAATTTAATGCACATATTTTTTTTGTTTATGTATGCTACTAAATAAATATAAAATACCTGAATTTATTTTAAAATATCATTAAATAGGTTTTTCTTTCGTTTAGCTGCAAAATATCTATTAAAAAAAAAAAGACATTTTTTAATCCAATTTGGGCAGATTCTAATCTCAATCTTCAGTGGAGAAAACAACTCCTATTATAGTTATAATAGTAATGCTTTGGAGATTATATATTAATAAGTCATATGTAATTGCCAAAGTTTTGTGTTTTCAAGTGGTACCATAATTATTATCTCTTAGCACAGCCAATGTGCATTATATGGACAGACTGGAATTTTCTTAAAACACGCCTGGAAAAGTCAAGGAATTTCATTTTCCTGTTTGAGTGGCAACCCTGTTAGAATTTGGTTCATAAAAGCATCTTTCACTTTTTATAATGTAACTGTTGTTACATTTTTTATGTATGCCAGTTTATAATTGCATTTCATCATATTCTAATTTCCAGGCTTTCTTGGATGCAGTTGTTAATCTACAGTTTGCCATGGTAGAGACATTATGGCAGTCATTTTGGAGAACTCATAACAGTAGTATTGCAAGAAGGTCAGATTTTAAATTCATACTTTTTAAGAGTTGTATAATGATTACCAAACTTTAATTAGTATACTAGTCACAAAAAGGTTTATGCAATAGTTAATAGCTTTCTAATGAAATATATATTGCTGCCTATGAAATAACTGTTTAGGAAACATGATTTATCACTAGCATAAGTCTAAATTTATTTTTTTTCTTTCCAAATTATATCTGTTAACTAAATTTTCAGAATTAATGATAATTTATTTTAAATATAATTGTGAACATATTATTTCTAAATTCAAATTATTAAGAAGTGGTTGTTGAGGTAGTTATTTAATCATTTTTTTTAATTACCTGTTGGGAAGGATTTTTTAGTTCCTGAAGAAAGATATTTCCTTATAAATTAATATTGATTCATAAAGTATAAAAGCAAGTTTCTTTGGGGGGGGGGAAATTAGTATATTCTCCTTTTCTTAAAAATTTCAGCACCATGAAACAATCACTTGAAAAAGCTAATACTTGCAGGTAATGCAAAGCAGGGTTATGATATTCAAATGATTAGAATTTCAGAGAGATCTGCTTGTGTGGGCTGAGCAACTCCCTTTGAAATGTAGTGTTAGCCATATAGAACTGTAGTGTTAGCCATAGAGTGCTGTATGTCATGATAAAAATAATTTTTAATAATATTTCATTATTTGCCAGCAGTAAACACTTCTTGAGAAAATACTATGCCTCATTGGCATTGTTAGCAAGCTACACTATTTAAATGGACCCTCATGATCAGCCTATGAGAAGGAAGACTTTTTTTTTTTTAAATCATGAAATTGCAGATCATGTAGAGCTTAATGCATTGTCAATGATACATGTATGCAAGTAGTAGTCTTAAGAAAACTGGAACCGTTTCAAATCTGATAGTAGATTACAAAATGTTGTCAGTGTTGGATGATAAGCACTTTAACCGCATGACAGTAGTTATTGTGCACTTTCATTTTGACAGTCGGCACAGTATCGGAACACTGTTGCAGGTGTGCCATTGTCAGTTTTAACAGTTCTCTGGCATCTGCTGCACTGTGTGTTGTAAGCATTCATTCCTTTATGCAGGATTCCTCAGATTCAAAACCATCATAAATGGATTCTACAGCATAGCCAGCGGAGTGTCTATTTCCAACAGGTTATCTTTTCTGATGAATTCTTATTCGATCTGAAGCACACCAGTGCTGAACTATGAATTAAATACTATAGGAGTGAACATTATCTTCTACAGTGGCCATTATATTGGATGTGTGCCCAGTATCATGGTTTAGTTTATGTTTGAATGTAATGGGCAGTCTCAACTGCTAAGAACAAACTGTACAGCGCACCCACAGTGATAATGTGCACTATCCAGACATAAAATTATTTGTGGAATTTAGGCCATGTCTTCAAATTTTTTTGGTTTTATGCATACATTGTTCTAAATGCAATCAAGTTGTCTTCAAGTTATCATGCAAAGAACCACCACCGCCAATTCATTGCAACTTACTTCTACCAAGTCATCTTATTACAATAATGGCATAGTGATATTACATATATATATTATAAAGGGACTTGTATCAGATTAATAATAGGTTTAGACTAATTTCCTCTGTAGAAAATATGTATCAGTTGTGATAATGGAATCAGATATTTATTGATATAACTTGAATTCTAGGGAACAAGAGAAGCTTCTGAGCAAGAGTAAATTTTACCAGCTATGCAAGCATGAACCTGTACTTCACTTCATGCGTAAATCAGATTATCAGTTTTATCAGAATTTGGTTGATGTTCTTATTCCAGATGTTCTTCGCCCAATACCAAGTAAGTATGCTGCATTCCTTGTATATTTACTCTCTCACTGTCAAAGTTTTAAAAGTTCTGTATTTATATAGCTTGCTTTGCAAGATGATTTTATTTAATTGACTGTTTTCATAACATTGATGTAATGAGATTTTTTTACCTAGATTATTAAAGTATGACTAAAAAAATATTTTAAAGTACTCATTCTCACTGAAGAAGCACTTTAAAATATATTTAAAATGCTGCACATACTTTTTATTCAAATATTTCAGCAGAAAACTTTAGCTGTGGACATTATTTAATTTCTGAATTAAATAAATTGGGCTTATTCCATCATGAAAAACAGAAAAATTTGGAAGGATAAACTATTTGTAAAAACAAAAATACCATAATAGTGTTTAGTTACTGACAAATTCAAATAAATTTTACACATGTCTGTGTAGCTTTGAGTTGTTTTCTTCAAGAGAGGAGCTACACTGCTCAAAAAAAAAAAAAAAAAAATGGGACAGTGCTATATCTCCCGTTCTACTGGGGCGATTCAAGAAATTCAAATTGCGTTCTACATGTCTCGAAAGCTCGACTTAGGATATATATTAGATTTATATATAGAACTATTCTAACATAGGTATTTTGACACAAAATCGGACTTTTTCTGAAATAACATACCAATTTTTTTACATATTTCGATTCTACGACTCAAATTATGCCAGAATACCAAGTTTTGTAAAAATCGTACGAGTAGTTTTTAAAATATAGCTCTCAAAATTTTAGCTCCTCAATGTTAATTGAATTTGGCAAATATTTATTTAATATCTCTTTTTTTATTAAACTTTTTTGATTTTTTTCTCTCACATTTCGAAATTTAGGTTCATTCCAAATAAAATTTACCCATTTTTTGTGTTTATTTTTTTAAATTTCTATTTTTAAATAATTTTTATAAATTTTTCGAAAAAAATTTTGAATTATAACCTATAAAATTTTTACCATCATCTTAAAGTAGGTGTATTTTTAAGCATATCTGCAAAAAATTAGACTTTTTTATTCAAAATTTTCTAAGATATACACGAATTTACATATTTTCGCGTTTTGAAATTTGGCATCTTTTTTTTTGAGCGATAATAACGCCAAATGTGGTCTATGGATTTTTGTTACACTGTAATTGCCACAGCTATTTTAACCTTAAATTTCAAGTAAAATTTTACGGAGAATTAATTATATGACATTTTTTCCCTCAATGATGCGTAATAAATATTTATTAATACTATATGAAAAGCTATTTTTTAAATAAATTTTTTATGTTCTTTTAAATTTCTCTTATCTTTTTTTTTTTTTTTTTTTTTTAATATTAATTAAGAGTAAATTTTTACCTTCGGCGTTTTATCGTCTGCTACTTTACTTCATTTAAATCGAATTGTCTAAAACTGAGAATTTTCGTTTGATGTTTATTTGAATTTTATGACATTAACTGCATAATTTATTTCTAAACAAACTGATGTGGCTGAAAGAGCGGCTGGTACTATCATCCATATTTTTAAAGCACAGTATATTTTTATAGAAACATAAGATTTAGAATAATCATTTTTATAAAAGTCAAATTATGATATAAATATACAACCCTCTAGAGACTGAATTAATGGAAGTTCAATGGTTATGTAGAAATGATCTGCAGCTACTTAATCGCTGGATAAGTCAGCAGATTCTGTGGACAAGTAAGAATAATTATATAAACGACACCCAACATTCTGAATTCAATTAACAACGAGGATACGATGTTTATTAAATGAATTCAAGAAGTTTTAAAACATAAAAAATCAACTCATTTTTTATCCTAAAATGTATTTTTGTGCGTAGCGTATTTTCATTATTCTAATTTAAAATTCTAATTTAGAATGTAATTGTCAAGAACTGATTCCTAATCATCAGTAATAAGTAATTATTATGGTTATTAATAAATCCTTCTTATAAAGTAATTGCAAATATTTCAAAAAACTTTCTGTCTGAATGCAAACATTTATAATTTTATATTAATCAAGATTGCACACGATGTTATTTATTTGCACTTCAATTCTTAACGTCAGTTCTAGTAGAAGTTATAAATCAATTATATTTAATTAAGGATTGGATTGGATTATTTAATTATGACAAAGCACACGAGGGCTATCTGCCTAAAGGGAGGGATGCCTTCGTGGAGGACTTTCTAAGGGAAACTGGCTCGCATACACGTTACACATCGGGAAAACCACGAAAACACCCATGAAACCAGCCTGTTCGCGGGATTCGAACCTCGGACCGAACTACCAGTGATGAGCGTCTTTACCGCTCGGCCGTTTGTGGGCCTTTATGAAATGGAAGGCAATAACTTTATTTAAAATGATTGTCAGAAATACCAAAATGTTTCGAAAAGTTGTATACTTTTTAATATACTTTCAGAATGCTTAAAGAAAAAAAAGAGAAGAAAAAATTTTTTCGTAAAATTTAGTATTTGTATTTTTTTTAATTTAAAACTTTTCAATGTTATGATATTTGATTCTTGTGATATTCAAAAATAAAATATTTGACTAAAATATGAATAACGTTTTAAGAAAACCAAATGTAGGATAAAATTGTGTAAAGCGAATGGGCACAATGATAAAACTGTTTAAAGCAGTGTATGCAAGTCATCCTAAGTTAAAATGTCGGTTATACATCTCTGTTTATTTATATATATCTTTTCTGAACGGAACATTGAAAGGCGTGTAAAACTGTGCTTTACTGTATTTTCTCTTTTAATATAGTATGCAGTTTTCAAACTCATCGTAGTCTGGATTACAAAGTATTCTTCCGAAAGAAACGCAGTTCAAATAAATAAAATAAAATTCTGGAAAATTGATATTAATAAATATATTTAAAATGCTCAGTTCGAAGGAATAAATAGAAAATTTTAAAACAATTATCTGAAGAGACAATGCAACACAAACAATTAAAATAAAAGTATAAAAATTTAAAAATTACCTAAAATAATAACTATGACGAAAAATATATATAAAGAAAAACTATTTGAAAAAAAAAATAAACGCTGCACCTTTATTTACGCAATTCGAATAGGTAAATAGAAATTTTTAAAACAGTTATTCGAAGAAAAAAAAAAAAAAAAAAAAAAGTGCAACTTACAACAATTAAAATGAAATTCGAAAAAGAAAAAATTACTTAAAATAATAAGTTATAATTAAAAATATAATATAAAGAATATTATTTGGAAAAAAGGAACGATGGTGACTTTTTTTCCTCTCACGGGAAAGGAAACTAGGTTGCCATGTATTAAGAAGTTCGCCAAGTGAAGTATACTTGGCGCAAACTGACAAAAAAGTGCCAACATAAATTTGTGAATTTCTAGGTAAATTTCGCTCCAAATTTTACAAAATTTCATATTTAGGCGTAATTTGAGTCGTAGAATCGAAATATGTAAAAAAATTGGTATGTTATTTCAGAAAAAGTCCGATTTTGTGTCAAAATACCTATGTTAGAATAGTGCTATATATAAATCTAATATATATCCTAAGTCGCGCTTTCGAGACATGAAGAACGCAATTTGAATTTTGTCAATCGGCCCAGTAGATCGGGAGATATAGGACTGTCCCATTTCTTTTTTGAGCAGTGTACATACGTTCAGCAGCAATTTACTAATGATTATTTTAAACAAATTATTTAAAACAGATTTTACTGTTCGTATTGTAGCAAAAATACAAAAAGAGGCTATTTTATATATGTGTAAAAGTAGTTTTTGTTTTTTAATCTCTGGTCTACTCTTGGTTCACTGTGTTTTTGGCTTTTCTTTCTGGAACCCCCAACATTTAATCATCTTCAGCTCCATCAATTGCATTTAAGTTGCCTGTTAATTGAAAATTTTTCACCTGGTGTTCTGGGACACATTTCTACATGCTGATCATTCTCACAAATTACATACTAGAGTCACTGTGAAGGAAACTTATCTGGCCCATACTGACCACTCCCAATTTAATGAGTAGAGAACTCAAGGATATATATATATATATATAGTATATATGGAAATATATTTTATCAATATGATGTGTAAAAGTGTTGACTGAAAAATTAACCACTTGCGCTACGATTTAACTTCACGGTTGCGGTGCCGTGCGCTACAATATAACAAGTGGTAAAGTGTCTCATTTACGCTGCTCCGCGTCTGCGAGATCCAGAGCTGTAACTCAAGAAATAAACAATCTCGTTGTTAGGCGACGTGTGCACCACGTTATTTCCATTTTTGTGATAAATGCCTATCTAGGTGGTGTTCAATGTCACTCGCGGTTTGAGACAAAAGCATCTCAACGTGCGTGGCACGTCTTTTTAGCGCAAGTGGTTAATTTCTCTTGAAAACTTTGTGAAGATTATATATTAACATGTCAAATTCCAAACTTATTTTGTTTGTAAATAATATTAATAAACAAAGTAATAGCCTTTAAATTTGACATTTTAATATATAATTAATATTAAATAAGCCTACTGTTTTATTAACTAAGGATGGTCTCTAGGGATCAGTGTAGCTTTTAATGTGTCATTGTATTTGAATTTGCAGTTGAATAGCCCATGTTTGGTCAAAGGTGAGTGAAAGTACCTTATTTCTTTGTCATGGCAGGTAAGGAAAGTTGAAAAGAGGATGTAGCAAAACACTTGATGCAATGCTACATTAAACACAGGGATTAAATATTAGCTGTGCTTCATTATTTTGATGGTGAAGTATTGTAAGCTGGTAGTATGCATGGACCTTATAAGAAATAGACTAACCCAGTGGGCGGGGCGCACGTCACCGACATGTCGGCAAGAAAGAGTAGGGACGATCTGGTTTACTTTAACACTGAAATCTATGGCGTTTGTATCACATAACTGTTTTTAATTATTAAATGTGATACGTTGTATAGTGATGAGATTATAAAAGCCACAGTTTTTTCCAAATAGGATTTAATATATCTCATTAAAGCACTTTTTACTGCATTTCTCGCATTTTTTTCACGCGTAATTCTTGT